AGTGGGAAGTCTGAATGTGCGTGGATGTTGTGCAGATGATAAGAAAGAGATGATTGTGGATGTTATGAATGAGAAGAAGCTGGATGTCCTGGCTTTAAGTGAAACAAAGCTGAAGGGGGTGGGAGAGTTTCAGTGGAGAGGAGATAAATGGGATTAGGTCAGGGGTTTCAAATAGAGTTAGAGCTAAAGAAGGAGTAGCAATAATGTTGAAGGATAAGCTATGGCAGAAAAGAGGGACTATAAATGTATTAATTCAAGGATTATGTGGAGTAAAATAAAGATTGGATGTGAAAAGTGGGTTATAATAAGCGTGTATGCACCTGGAGAAGAGAGAAGTGTAGAGGAGAGAGAGAGATTTTGGGAAATGTTGAGTGAATGCGTGGGGAGTTTTGAATCAAGTGTGAGAGTAATGGTGGTTGGGGATTTCAATGCTAAAGTGGGTAAAATGTTATGGAGGGAGTAGTAGGTAAATTTGGGGTGCCAGGGGAAAATGTAAATGGGGAGCCTTTAATTGAGCTATGTGTAGAAAGAAATTTGGTAATAAGTAATACATATTTTATGAAAAAGAGGATAAATAAATATACAAGGTATGATGTAGCACGTAATGAAAGTAGTTTATTAGATTATGTATTGGTGGATAAAAGGTTGATGGTAGGCTCCAGGATGTACATGTTATAGAGGGGCAAGATATATCGGATCATTATTTAGTTGTAGCTACAGTTAGAGTAGGGGTAGATGGGAAAAGAGGAAGGTGGCAACAACAAGTAAGAGGGAGGTGAAAGTGTATAAACTAAGGGAGGAGGAAGTTCGGGTGAATATAAGCGACTATTGGCAGAAAGGTGGGCTAGTGCAAAGATGAGTAGTGGGGGGTTTGAAGGGGGTTGGAATAGTTTTAAAAATGCAGTATTAGAATTGGGGCAGAAGTTTGTGGTTATAGGAGGGTGGGAGCAGGAGGAAAGAGAGAGTGATTGGTGGAAAGATGAAGTAAAGGCGGATAAAAGAGAAAAAGGTGCTTATGAGAGGTTTTTACAAAGCGGGAAGTGTTATAAGAAGAGCAGAGTATATGGAGAGTAAAAGAAAGGTAAAGAGAGTGGTGAGAGAGTGCAAAAGGAGAGCAGATGATAGAGTGGGAGAGGCACTGTCAAGAAATTTTAATGAAAATAAGAAAAAATTTTGGAGTGAGTTAAACAAGTTAAGAAAGCCTAGGGGAAAAAATGGATTTGTCAGTTAAAAACAGAGTAGGGGAGATGGGAGATGGAGGTATTGGGTAGATGGCGAGAATATTTTGAGGGAAATTTAAATGTTAAGGAAAAACAGAGGGAGTAATTTCATGCACTGGTCAGGGAGGGATACCATCTTTTAGGGGTGAAAAAAAGCGAATGTAAGTGTGGGGGAGGTACGTGAGGCATTACGTAAAAAGAAAGGGGGTAAAGCAGCTGGAATGAGGGATCATGACAGAAAAGTTAAAAGCAGGGGGGACTATAGTGTTGGAGTGGTTGGTACTTTTGTTTAATAAATGTATGAAAGAGGGGAAGGTACCCAGGGATTGGCGGAGAGCATGTATAGTCCCTTTATATAAAGGAAAGGGGGCAAAAAAGACTGTAAAAAAATTTTAGAGGAATAAGCTTACTGAGTATACCAGGAAAAGTGTACGGTTTGGGTTGTAATTGAAAGAATTAGAGGTAAGACGAATGTAGGATTGCGGATGAGCAAGGAGGTTTTAGAGTGGGTAGGGGATGTGTAGATTTAAGTTTTTTACATTGAAGCATATATGTGAACAGTATTTAGATAAAGGTAGGGAAGTTTTTATTGCATTTATGGTTTTAGAAAAGGCATATGATAGAGTGGATACAGGAGCAAGGTGGCAGATGTTGCAAGTATATGGAAAGGTGGTAAGTTAATTAAATGCTGTAAAGAGTTTTTATGAGATAGTGAGGCTCAGGTTAGGGTGTGTAGAAGAGAGGGAGACTACTTCCCGGTAAAAGGGGTCTTAGACGGGGATGTGTAATGTCACCATAGTTGTTTAATATATTTATAGATGGGGTTGTAAAGGAAGTTAAATGCTAGGGTGTTCGGAGAAGGGGTGGATTAAATTTTGGGAATCAAATTCAAAATGGGAATTGACACAGTTACTTTTTGCTGATGATACTGTGCTTATGGGAGATTCTAAAGAAAATTGCAAAGGTTAGGGGAGAGTTGGGAATGTGTGTAAAGGTAGAAAGTTGAAAGTGAACAAAAGAAAAGAGTAAGGTAATGAGGGTTGTCAAATGATTTAGAAAAAGAAAAATTGGATATAAAATTGGGGAGGAGGAGTAGGGGAAGAAGTGAATGTTTTCAGATACTTGGGAGTTGACGTGTCGGCGGATGGATTTATGAAGGATGAGGTTAATCATAGAATTGATGAGGGAAAAAAGGTGAGTGGTTGCGTTGAGGTATATGTGGAGTCAAAAACGTTATCTATGGGGCAAAGAAGGGAATGTATAAAAGTATAGTAGTACCAACACTCTTATAGGGGGTTTTGAAGCTTGGGGTTTGGTAAATGCAGCAGCGAGGAGACGGTTGGAGGCAGTGGAGATGTCCTGTTTAGGGCAATGTGTGGTGTAAATATTTGCAGAAAATTCGGAGTGTGGAAATTAGGAGAAGGTGTGGAGTTAATAAAAGTATTAAATCAGAGGGCCCGAAGAGGGGTTTTTGAGGTGGTTTGGTCATTTAGAGAGAATGGATCAAAGTAGAATGACATGGAAAGCATATAAATCTATAGGGGAAGGGAAAGGGGGGGTAGGGGTCGTCCTCGAAAGGTTGGGAGAGGGGGGTAAAGGTTTTGTGGGCAAGGGGCTTGGACTTCAGCAAGCCCTTGCTGAGCGTGTAGATAGGAGTGAATGGAGACGAATGGTACTTGGGACCCGACGATCTGTTGGAGTGTGACAGGGTAAATTTAGTGAAGGGATTCAGGAAACCGGTTATTTTCATATAGTCGGACTTGAGTCCCGGGAAAAGGGAAGTACAATGCCTGCACTTTTAAAGAGGGGTTTGGGATATTGGCAGTTTGGAGGATATGTTGTGTATCTTTTTTATGTGTATGCTTCTAGACTGTTGTATTCTGAGCACCTCTGCAAAAACAGTGATAATGTGCGGTGTGGTGAAAGTGTTGAATGATGATGAAATATTTCTTTTTGGGGATTTTCTTTCTTTTTTGGGTCACCCTGCCTCGGTGGGGGACGCCGACTTGTTGAAAAAAAAATATATATATATACATGTATATATATATTATATATTATATATATATATATTATTTAAAATATATATTATATATATATTATATATATATATATTATATATAATTTTATATTGTCGTGCCGAATTTTACAGTTGATCAATTAGCAAGAACCCATTTTTAAAAAAAGGGCCCTTTTCAAAAAATTTTTCTTTTAAATACTTTTAAAGATATTTTTTTTTTAAATTTAATGTTAAGTAAAAATTTTTAAAATTTTTGCACCAAAAGGAACTTAGAAAACTTCCCTAACCCTATTATAAAAAGCGAAATTTTAATTTAGCCTAACCCAACAAAAATATTTTAAAATTTTTTTCCCAATTTTTTAAATACAAACCCAAACCCACAGTGACATATTTTTTTTTCGTTAGGTTTCAGAATAAATTTTGGCAAAATTTATTGCATACAAAAATTTTTTCACTTTGTCCTATATGGCAAAATGAGCTTTTGCTATTTAAGCCAAGAGGCAAGTTCTGCCTATTTCGGCACTACATAAAAATATATAATATATATATATATATATATATATATATAAAATTATAAAAATAAAATAAATAAAAATTTTAATTTTTTTTGGGCAGTTTGGGGGGATATGTTGTGTATTTTTTATATGTGTTTGCCCCTAAACGTTTTTTCGAGCCCTCTGCAAAAAAAATGAAAAGGGTGTGAGTTGGTAAAAGTTTTTAATGATGATAAAAAGTATTTTTTTTTTGGGGTTTTTCCTTTTCTTTTTTGGGTCCCCCCTCCTCGGGGAGAGGGGCCGACTTGTTCAAAAAATATATATATAAAATAAAAATATTTTAAAAAAGTTATATATATAAAATATATATATATATAAAATATTTTTATAAATATATATATATAATTTTATAAATATATATATATAAAACAACTGAATGTTGTATATTTTAATATACAACCGAAAATGGATGTGTATAAAAACGGGGAAAATTGAACTCATAACACGAGAAAAATTTTATTTTTAATCTCTCCCTTAGCTTATTAAATGTTTTGCACTATGGCAGGTTTGTTTGTCTTTTCTATCAATCTCATAGATATGTAAGGTGGCAAGTCAACGATACTACAAACTTCTAAAACTGGCTAGTTGGGCACTACATTCTTCAGCAATAATAACCTCTTTTCTTTTTTACGAACATATACCAGCGTTCGAAATTTTGAAGCCAGTTTAAAGTCGCTCGAAAGTTATCACACAATGAAATCAGAAGAAAAAGTTGAGACCATTCTAGGTTACTGTGCATGCTAAGGCGGCGACACAAAACAAATCCTGTGTAATGGAATTTGACAGGAAAACATAACTAACTTTTAGAGAGTAATGTAGCCGCACTCTTGTGGGTGTTCCCAATATGTTGTTGTTCACATAGAATACGATGGCAGCTCTTTGTAGCTATATCATATACACTAGGATAACAGCACACTGCCGATGTATCTAATTTACCTTAGTCATTTCACTCTTTCAAGACTCAATTTCACTGTCATTCAAAGGAATTCCAACTCACTCTACATTTGTATTATGCTTAGCGCAAAATTTTGTAATATTTATAAATATTAATCAGATAAATATTTTGATGTAGTTGCCTGATTTTTTCCTCCAACGTTTTCGTTTATAACTTTAGAATGCCTCATCCGATCAGCTGACCCCATTCTGATTTCTCTCCATTTATGCACACTGCTGCCTATCGGTCCTCTAGGAGATATCTTTTCGTACACCATGTGCCGGTACTTCGTCAGTGTCCTCTGTGGGTCACTAGATCCTATATACAATGTCGTGTTCTTAATCTAGGTCCATTGCATCGAATACCTTAGAAAGGTTAGTAAATTCGTGAAGTTATGTAGCCCTTGTATTAATTCTTGTCAGCATTTCTCTCCTGTCTGTGAAAAATATGGCAGAGTATGACATTCCTCTGCTTCATTTTACAAAGGATATTATTTCCTGGTTCAATATAATCTCCATCTGTGCCTTCAACTTAGGTTACCGTTTTAACTTTTTGCTGCCCATCTAACAATATTGCCTCTTTTAGCCAGAGGGCGCACGCTACCTGGGTCCCGCAGAAGCTGTCCTATTTGACCTGGGCTGCAGGTTCCTGTCGAGTGTGGGCGTGGGCGAAGCGTGGGCGGCTGTGGTCAGCGGTAACGTCACTCACGAGGCCATAGTCACACGGACGCCCCTGCCACTCAATATTCTCAGTAGCTACGATGATGTCCTGCGTCCTGTCCACCAAGGACTGGCTCTCAGTGTGGTAGTACCAGCACGTCCAAGTGAGTAGCAGTGTATTTATACAGTTGATTAACACTAACACACAGTTATATGGTGAAGAATTAGACACGTACAACACCTGGGTATCTTTGTAGACGCTTTGCCTCGTCCTTTGTATACAGTTCTTCAGTTTTCCCATTATGTCCTTGAATTTTCATTGATAAAGCCACTGAATGGCAAAACATCTACAAATACCCAGATGTTGCACATGTGTCTTGATTCTTCATCTTGTCGGTATTGTATACCATTCATGTACCACACAGGTACATAATTACTACTAGGTGAGCAATGGCAGCAGATTTAAGGAGGCTTACCCATACATCGCACTTGTGTGGCTTGAAAGTTCTCTCCTAGTCGGCAGATGGTGTTGTTTAGTGACAATAGTTCTTATACACGAGCAGACTTTGTTGGAACTTATTAAGTAAAAAGTTTCTCTCCGGAATATAATGATAGTTTTGAGTGTGAATGCTTTTAAACTTTTTACTGAATGTTTAACATTGTGTTTGTGACTGAACTTGAAAGTGTAGCACGAGTTTTGCATGGAGGCTTTCTACTGTGGCAAAAAAAAAATGAGCGTGTTTATGCACACATGCGTGTTAGCATAACAAACTGGCATTGGTGTATGTTTCTGCTTGTTCATATAGCAAACTAACAAGTGTTTATTCATGGGTACTTACCTGTCAGCCTCCTTATTCAATGACCTTGTTGGGTGGACATGAAAATCAGGTGAATGTTAGAGACACCTTGTCCCGCCTGTCTAGGAGGGAAAATGTGACTTGAAGCTGGTGAAAGACTCTCAGTGTGATGAACTGGAACTACCCTCCTCTTTCCCGGATCAAACCTTGTTATTTTTCATTCCCAGGTGCTGTAAAACCTTTATAGATTAAACGCTTCCCCACGAATGTAATAATAATAATGATTAAAAAATACTGACTAATAATAATCATAAGATATAATTATTTATTTTTATATTCACGGAGAAGCACTAAACCTGCTAGGGCCATGTAGCATCTGCAGAATGGAAGAGGGTGGTTGTGTAATCAGGTTTAATCCAAAAAAGGGAGGGTAGCCTCTATCATATGGAGCTACCCCCCCCCCCCCCCTCCCTTTCCTCGAATCACATTTTTGTCTCCCGTCTCCAAGAGTATAATAATATAATAGATGAAAAGAGCTGTTGAAGCTTAGGCTCTGAGAATACCAGAAATTGTTATAATCATATCCATAATTTTTAAAAGAGGTGGACCGGTAAGCCAGCGGAAGGCCTCGGTCACATAACCAAAAGCTCCATCAATGGGTCATCATATATATGACTAAGACCCGCATCAGGAAATACTTGTCCTGTTTCCTGACAAACATTATACCTACCTTAGGCTATGAGAATAAGTTAGACTAGTGTTTGCGAGAGGGGAAGGGGTTGAATTTGAGAAGATCGCACCAAGTATGAGCCAGTAAGCCTGTTATATTGTTCCTCCATTCATATGTTCTTATATTCCCACACCCTGACCTTTAATGAGTTTCGAGATTTTTTCTACTCCCGGCCTTGGGTCAGGCTTGTCTGGTGTTTGCCTGATCAACCAGGCTGTTGCAGCTGGCGGCTCGTTGGCCTACATATCCATCACAGCCTGGTTGATCTGGCACCTGGTGAAGAGACTTGTCCAATTTCAAACTCCTTAAAACTTCTACACTTGTCCCAGCAGTGTTTCTCATAACTTCTGGTAACATGTTGAATAATCTGGGGCCACGGACGTTGATACAGTGTTTCCTTATTGTACCCACAACGCTCCTACTTTTCATTGGGTTTATTTTGCACTTCCTCCCAATGCAGCCTTGCAGTGTAGGTGGCACAGCCGCCCGGGGATGGCACAACAGAGACACTTCTGCGACACCTACGATGGCTTTCCTGAGTTGTGTAGGTGCGAGCATCCTCTCACCCCACCATCTGCCACTCTCAGAGCAGTGAGTCACATGCGTACTTCATCTGATAGTTTATTGGGTTTTAAGAGCATTCGACTGATTGTAGGTAATTATGGCACAGTTCACCTATCCAATAACATCAATAATACTTGAATCCCTAAAATAGGTATTAAAACAAATTTTAAACCTGTATACATTTTTTTTTTCGCTGGTATTCTCCAGGCCCGGGTCTTTTCCAAGTAGTAGTATTATTTTCATTATTATTGTTATTATTATTATTATTATTATCATTTATAATAAGGTATTTCCGAAGGGGTACTTTTAAATGTCGCCTAATTTTTTTCTTTTCTAACTTCAAACATTCAGTTTATTTCTGAGAACTTTTTTTTCATTATTATTACATTTAAGAGACATTCAGCGCCTAGAGAATGGATGTAGCTTCAGTTTTTGGATGACGAGCTGGTACCTTCTTAGGGGGGGGCGGAGAACCCTCCTTGGTTAAGAACCGCTGTACTAGACTAACATGACAAGAATTGTACCCAGTGATCATGCCAGTAACATTGATTTTAACGGACCACTTATTATGTCTACACTCCAGTTATCTTATTGCTGATAACAAAATTGTGTTCGGACTATTTGGTTAATAACTCAGGGTAACCCGGACTGTTTAGTTAGTAACCCGGATTATTTAGTTAGTAACCCAGGGTAACCCGGACTATTTAGTTAATAACCCAGGGTAACCCGGACTGTTTAGTTAGTAACCCAGGGTAACCCGGATTATTTAGTCAGTAACGCAGGGTAACCTGAGAGACTTTTTCCACTGGACTGTTTTGACCCTCTTTCTCAGCATGTCATCCATTACAGTTAGCTAACATCAAGGTATTGCTAGGTGAACAGAGGCAACAGGTGTAAGGAGCGTCCAGCATTCCATTCGTCCCGGATTCAAACCCGGGTTCCAGTACTTAATGCCCAGCATTGGCATTTTGATACTCTAGCTAAGTGCGAGGCTATACCACGGGTATGACATTTTTGTTAGGTTAAATTTAGAACAAACTAGGCTTTCCTAATATATCTATCGCCCATGATGTTTATTTTTTATCATACTTCATCACACAGGGTAGCTTTCTTGCTATGCTCCATCACATAGGATAGTTTTTCCTGTTATACTCCATCACATAGGATAGTTTTTCCTGTTATACTCCATCACACATAATGGGCTCCCTGTCATACTCCACACATAATGGCCTCCCTATCATACTCTGTCACACAGGATGGCTTCATTTGTTCCTTGATAATGTGAGTGGTCACGAAAGCGCTTGGAATTTCACTATTCTTTCACAGTGGTTGTTTTGCATATTCTGAAATCACCTGTTTACTGTGATCTTATTGCATATATATATATATATATATATATATATAATATATATATATATATATTATAATATATATATAATATATAATATATATATAATATATATATATATATTATATAGGGTGTGTGTAAATTTTTATAGTTTTATACTATGCATTTCCTTGTCAAATAATGCGTGTGTAAAATAATTTGTGACGGCACTTACAGCCAAGAATGGCACTGAAGGAGAGCATCCCGTGTGTGGTGGCAACGTCAAAGCATCCTTACCACTTGTACAGGTACGTAGCAGAGGACTCGTGGTTGAACATAATAATAAATAATAATATAATAATATCTTTATTTACTACAAGTACATGTACAAGGTATACAGGCCTAGCTGACAATAATGACATACTACTATATACTCTTATTCTTATGAAAATGAACATTCTGAGGGTTATATTCAATTTATAGATACTAGTACAATAATATAGATGGAGTCGTTGAGAAACACGACCTTCAAGCTTGGACTCGCTGTCCCTGTCGTCACCCGCCCCAGCGTCCACAGCCGCATCATGAAGTATAAGGTGTGCTCTTTATGTCAAATCTACTACTGTATAGTTTCATTTCTACACTATTACGATAACCGACATTTTTCAAAATTTTTAATTTACATTTAGATATTTTATGCATATTTTTAATAAATACTTTACCATCGAAATCGCTAATTACATTAACCAATACAAAACTCCTGGTAAATAATGTAAAACAAGCCAAAATACCTACATATACATTAATTATTAATTAGTTGCAATATCCCACAATGATGATTGCAAAGTCTCTCACTTTTAAGAGTCCACGGTAATTACATAATATAGTTCCCTGATTTTGTAGCACATGTGTAGATAAAGTGCTGCGTACTCGGTTTGCGTGTGACCAGCAGTAACAGCCTGGTTGATCAGACCCTGATCCACCGCAAGGCCTGGTCATGAGCCGAGTCGCTGGGGCGTTGACCCCCGAAACACCCTCCAGGTATACCAATATTTAAAAATTAATATAATCCCAAAATATTAATTTTCATGACGTGTTCACAGTAACCCGCCTTGTGGTTGACACATGTTGCAAGGCATTAAGATAATCAGCCATTGTAGTACATTCCGAAATTCTTGTTGCTGTTCATTTATTATAGATCCAAATGTGTTGTGTTAACTACGAATTTTTACAAAAGTTTATTATTATGGATCAGCGGTAAAACTTGCCAACACATCTAGTGAGACTAAAAAATAAAGAAAATATCCTGTGATTACCTACTGAATAGCGTGATTTTCTTCATTAAATTAATACCTTCACTACATCAGTGTTTTACCAAGACTTGACAATACTTACAGTGGATCCAAATGGCGTACTGCTGACAGTAGTGAGGGAAAACAAGAGCTTTGATTGGTGCGTTTCACACAGTAGAGTTCAACACAAGGAACGTCCCAATAAAACCTTGTTGTGTAGCCTGTTTTTTTCTTCACGTACAATATTCTTTCAACAGAGTTCTGCTACAGCTGGTACAGATGGCTGGTGGGGCCCAGACACCATTTTTCATCAGGCTGGAGGGTGACTGCCCAGCCACAGAGGACCTCGCCCGACTATTCAATATCCCCTTCAGGTAGGTGTTGGAAATCATAATTTAAATCACTTTTAAGACAACTGCAGAAAATATCACAAATACGTTTAATGCAAATAGTGTAAAAATAATATACTAACTTGATGTTTAGTGTCATAGAAAATCCTTGCTGCTTTGCAATATATGCTAAATGGTTTTCAAGGAGTTATGCCTTGATACCTTGTGAAGGGCTCTTGATCTAAGGAATTGGAGCTAATCTTTCAACAAAAGTGATTACCTTTCATTCCTCAAGAGCTGTAGACCCTTCAGAATTTAGTGCTTTCTCTTGCATATGACATGTGATATATAATACTAATAACAAACTAGTACTGTTTCTACCATTACTACTACTACTACTAATAATAATAATAATCGTAATAATAATAGCAGGTTGTCCCCCTCCCACCAGGAAGTACTACACACCGGTGGTGGACAAGAGTACACAGAGCGTGACACAGCTGATCTCTGTGGTGACACGGAGTGCAGTGAATGACACCTTCACCTGGTACCCACACGCTGACAAGGTCATCTTCATGGAAGATGATGTGCTCCTCAGTCCGGACTTTCTCTGGTGAGAGAGAGAGAGAGATGCAGACAGACAGACATAGATACAGATTGGATAAAAGAATTAAAGCAGAAAAAAAGAGTATACGAAAGACATTATGAGAGTGAGCAAATAAATGTGTGTGAACTTGCCTGTTCTTGTGATTACATTTATATGCAAGTAAGTAAGTTTATTCAGGTATACACAAATACAGTTACATAGAATTATCATACATAGCAGCATATGTGTAGAGAACCTAGGATGACCCAAAAAAGTCAGAGTGACTTATTTCCATTAGGGTCCTTGTTATTAGTTACATGATACACTGTGGGTGTATCCAAGGTTGTTGGTACTTCATTTGTCAGGATAAATTTCAAAATGTTCTGCTGACGCGAATCTTAGTCATACGATAACACTCAGCGGAGTCGAGCTTTTGATCATACCACGATTATTATTATTATCAAAAAATTATAATCAGAAAGAGTCATACGACAAAAAAACTCAAATTTCGAGGCAACTCTGTAAAAAATGAAGATCACATAATAAGATTTTATGTATTATATTGGGTTATATTATGCTCAGTATGATGGTTGCTGTCATTAATCTATGCAGCAGTGTTAGCTAACATCGACACCATGCCTAACCCTTCTAGGGTAGGGTAGGTGCCTGAGCCCGAGCTTTTAGCTCATAAGACTGTCATTTCCATTTGCTCCTTTGGGGTGGGGATGACAGACCAGAGAGGCCTAGCTTGTGGCTAGGCCTGGGGACAGTTGGTCCCAAAGATGAGGAGGTACTTGTGCCTCTTCCCATGGGAGATTTCGGTCTCAGACACTCCCTAAAGAGGGAGCCAAGGCCGGGCCACCACTTGGAAAAGGCCCGGGCCGGGAGAATACCGGCTAATCTTTAATAAATATGTTAGCTAAAATCTTAACATTTGTTGCTGTGGGATATTTTTTTATTTTCTTGCTCTCCCCTTGTTGCCATATTTATCCGTCTAACATGTTTTCGGACTAATTATGCTATAGAAAAAATACTTGTATGTTCTTTGATCTTTGTATTTCCTTTGCATTTCTTTTTTTTTAATTTGTTGATCATTCAGACTAATAGGACTAGACTTGCAGTCTTCGTTTTTCTACAAATCCTCCTGTGTTTTTTTTTTTTCAGTAATTCTTCCCGTTGCTTAATATAAATGTGCAGAGATTTCCTTTTTAGGTACATGTTTGTATTTCTATAACTGGCTACATGATGTGTTAAATAAAAAAAGGCACAATACCGTGACTGGAACGATACACAAATAACTCGCACATAGAAGAGAGGAGCTTAAGACGACGTTTCGGTCCGATCGAAACGTTATTGTAAGCTCTTCTCTCTTCTATGTGCGGGTTATTTGTGTATGATGTGTTAAACTTAGACCTTCTTGATTCAGTAAGATCATACTGACTTACTAGTTTTTCCTGTTTAGTTTTTATACTCATGTTTTCATAGCATTCAAGTTAAACAGCTTATATACACTGAACACTTGCCAATTTATAAATTGATTACAGCTAAAAAGCAGCATGCGCTGCGCATTCAACTGCTTATTTTTGTACGTACAGGAATGTGAGAAGTTTCTCATCCACAGGTACTTCCAGCAGACAGCTCAACTCATGGACGATGACCCAACCATACTGGCGGTCTCAGCACACCACACTTACTCCTTTCCTGGGCTGGGCTTCAACCCAACACGACTTCTTCGTGGGATCATGCCTCCTCAGTGGGGGTGGATGGCGACGCGCAGGTTTATCCAGGCTTGGGCCCCAGATTACTGGGTAGCAACCTGTAATTTCACGTCTTAAGGGATTCTCTGATTATTTACCCAGTTATGCAGAACAACCACGGGGGAAGTTGAATGAGTTATTACTCAACTCCCCCCGTGGTTGTTTGCATCTTGTATCGCTTGTTCGCGATTTTTATATTATCCAGTTATATACGTATTGTAGTTATATGCTAGTCTATTTGTGTTATCTTAGATCTTTAATGTAACGTTTCCTGCAAGAGTGGGAGAGATTTCCTCCAGTAAGGGTGACCTCGTGCATATCCTTCCAGATGTTTAAATTGATTCTCTCTCGCTGTGTGTGTGTGTATGTATGTATATATATATATATATATATATATATATATATATATTATATATATATATATATAATATATATATATATATATATATATATATATATGCAATAAGATCACAGTAAACAGGTGATTTCAGAATATGCAAAACAACCACTCTGAAAGAATAGAGAAATTCCAAGCGCTTTCGTGACTACTCACATTATCAAGGAACTATGAAAGTAAAGCATCCAAGGAAGCTATATAAGGGGTCTGGCCAACACCTCACTATCAGATCCCACAACGGTTAAACACCTGACGCACGCCGACCCAACTTGGATAGGTCCTTTGCACAACTCACCCACAAACTATTCTAACCCAAGAAAATTTAAAATTATTATTTTCCAGTGTATTATTAAATTCTTCCCAAATCTATTAATTATAAATGGATCTAATTTATATAAACCAAAGGAAATATTCATATTATTGTCAAAACTGCTTTTATAGAAACAAGATTCAATTATATTCCTGTCGACCATGGACTTGCTTGATACTACTTTCTCAACTTTTTGAAAATCAATTGGATGGTTAAAATCTCTTACATGAATAAATAGAGCATTGGAATCTTGTCCAGTTTCTAATGCTATATTTATGTTGTTTTAATCTTAGTTCGAGATTTTTTCCATTTGACCTTAAAAAACTTTTTCGCAAATTTTACAAGGATCTTATAGACACATCCATCAGATTTTGGGGGGGAATTTTTTATCAAAAAGTTTTTTTACTGTATGAGATTTTGAATACAACTTTAATATTAAAAGTTTAAAAAGAGAAGGCATATCAACCAATTTTTATGGTAAAGGGGGAACCAACAATTTTTTTTTAAAAGGCTGGTTTTCCCCTTTTGGATTGTAAAAGTATTTCGGCAACTTTAAAAGATTTATCAATTACTTTTTGGGTTTTTTAAAAAACATTACCTATTTAAAAAAACCATTTAAAATACCCAAAAAAAGTAAATTTATAAAAATTTTAAATTTTCCAGAAATACTTTTTACAATCCAAAAAGGGGCACCCCCTTTTTCAAATAAAAAAAATGTTGGGTTTTCCCCTTACCCCTGAAAAATTTTTGGTTGTATGCCCTTTTCTTTTTAAGACTTTTAATATTAAAGTTGATTCAAAAATCTCGATACATAAAAAAAATTTTGATAAGAATTCCCCCCCAAAAAGCTGATGGATTGCTATAAATTCCTTGAAATTTTCGATAAAGTTTATTACGGTCAAACTGGTAAAAATCTCGAACAAGATTAAAACAACAAAATATAGCATTTAAAATGGGCAAGATCCAATCTCTATTTTTTCATGTAAAAAGATTTTAACCCCAATTTATTTTCAAAAAGTTTGAGAAATAGTACAAGCAAGTCCATGGTCGCAGAAAATAATTGAATCTTGTTTCATAAAAGCAGTTTTGACATAATAGAAAAATTTCCTTTGGTTTATATAAATTAGATTCATTTATAATTTAAAAAATTTTGGGGGATTTAATTAAAAAAAACTGGACAAAAAACTTTAAAATTTCTTATTTTTGGGGGAATAGTTTGTGGGGTGGGTTGGCCAAACCTTTCCAATTGGCTCGCCGCGCGTCACGTGTTTAAACTTGTGGGTTTGATGTGAGGTCCGACCAGCCCCCTTATATAGCTTCCTTGATTTTTTACTTTCATAGTTCCTTGATAATGTGAGTAGCACGAAAGCGTTGGGAAAATTTCTTTTTCTTTCGATGGTTGTTTTGCTATTCTAAAATCACCTGTTTACTGTGTCTTATTGCTTTTTTTTTTATATTTTTAAATATATTATATAAAATTTATATATATTATAATATATATATAATATAAATATATTATATATATATATTTTTTTTTTTTTTTTTTTTTTTTTTTTTTTTTTTGAAAGTCGCCGCCTCCCACCGAGGCAGGGTGCCCCAAAAAAAGAAAGAAAATCCCCAAAAAGAAAATCTTTCACTCATTAAACACTTTCACCACTCACGCTTTAATCACTGCTTTGCAGATGTGCTAGAAAACAATTTTTAAAAGCAATACGTATAAGCCCAAAAATATCCCCCAAACTGCCAATAACCCAAACCCGCCCCTTTAAAAAGTGCAGGCATTGTATTCCCCTTTAATGGACGCAGTCCGACATTTGAAAAAAAACCCGGTTTCCCTGAATCCCTTCAAAAAATTTCCCCTCTCCACCCAACAGATCGCCCATCCCAAAAACATTCTCCCTTCACTCCTTTCAACACGCTCAGCACGCTTGTTTTGACGCCCAACCCCACCCCACAAACCCTCCTTTACCCCCTCTTTCCAAACCCTTTCGAGGACGACCCCTCCCCCTCCTTCCCCTATAGATTTATATGTTTTCCCAGGTCATTCCCTTTGACCCATTCTCTCTAAATGACCAAACCACCTCAAAAAACCCCTCTTTGCCCCTACTAATGTTTTTATTAACTCCACACCTTCTCCAATTTCCCCACTTCGAATTTTCTGAAAATATTTACACCCAACATTGCCCTTAGAAGGAATCTCCACTCCCCTCCAACCCTCCCGTGCTGCATTTACCCCCCAAGCTTCACTCCATATAAGAGTTTTGGGTACACTAAACTTTCATACATTCCCTTTTTGCCTCCATAGAAACTTTTTTTTATCCCAATCCCTAAATGAAACCACCCCACCTTTTTTCCCCCTAAATTTATTTTTAACCTCATCCTTCCCAAAAATCCACCCCGACACGTCAACCCCCAAAGTATCTGAAAAATTCACTTCTTCCTTTCCCCCCCCCCAATTTGATATCCAATTTTTTTTTATTAAATCATTTGATACCCTCCCCTTACTCTTTTCTATGTTCACTTTCAAATTTTTTACCTTTTTCCACATTCTCAAATCATCCCCTAAATTTTGGGGAATTTTTCTTTGAATCTCCCTAAGCACAGTTCTCACAAAAAGTAAATTTGTCAATTCCAATTTTGAATTTGATTCCCCCTAATTTAATCCCCCCCCTCTCCCCAACACCCAGCATTTAAACTTCTTTTACAACCCCCTCTATAAATATACTGTATTAAACAACCCTGGGACTTTCACTCCCTGTCAAGACCCACTTTTACCGGAAGTTTCTCCCTCTCTTCTACACACCCCAACCGAGCCTCACTATCCCAAAAAAGCTCTTTACAGCTTTATAATTTACCCCTATTTCCCTAACTTGCAACTCTGCCAATTTGCTCCTCTACCACCTTCTATGCCCTTTTTTAAAACCCCTAAAAACAATAAAAACTTCCCCCACTTTATCTAAATACGTTCACATATTGCTTTAAGAAGCACTTGATCACACTCCCCTACCCACTCTGAACCTCCCCTGCTTTAAGTGGGTAGGGATGTGTAGATCCTACATTCTGTCTTACCTCAATTCTTTCAAAATTTTAAAACCCCACCGTATACTTTTCCCGTATACTAGAAACTTATTCCTCTAAATTTTTACAACTCTTTTTTCCCCTTTCCCTTTATATAAAGGGACTATAATCTCCCTCCCAACCCCAGGGACCTTTCCCCTCTTTCATACATTTATTAAACAAAATCCAACCACTCCAACCTAATCCCCCCCTGCTTTTAAAAATTTCTGTATGATCCCATCAGTTTCCGCTCTTTACCCCCCTTTCGTTCTACGAAATTTCCCCACGTACCTCCCCCACATTTAAATTCTGCTCTTCTTCACTCCAAAAGATGGAACCTCCCTGGCCAGGGATGAAATTAGCCTCCCCTTTCTTCCTAAAATTAAAAGTTCCTAAAAAATTCTCGCCCTTACCCAATACCTCCCTCTCCCCATCTACTAATCCCCCTACTCTTTTTAACTGGGCAAATCCCCTGCTTTCCCTAGGCTTTCATTAAAATTTCTTGACGTGCCCCCTCCCACTCTTTTATCTCTCTCCTTTTGCACTCTCCACCACTCTCTTTCCCCTTTTTTTTTTCTTCCATATACTCTGCTCTTTTTTATAAACTTTGCTTTTTAAAAAAACCTCTCGTAAGCTACCTTTTTTCTTTTTTTTCACACCCTTTACTTTACATTCCACCAATCACTCCTCTTTCCTCCTGCCCCCACCCTCCTATAACCACAAACTTCTGCCCCACATTCTAATACTGCATTTTTAAAACTATTCCAACCCTCTTCAACCCCCCCCCCCACTACTCATATATATATATATATTATATATATATATATATATATATATATATATATATATATATATATATATTTTTTTTTTTTTTTTTTTTTTTTTTTTTTTTTTCAACAAGTCGGGGGTAAAGAGGGGGTAAAGGAGGTTTTGTGGGCGAGGGGCTTGGACTTCCAGCAATTGTGCGTGAGCGTGTTAGATAGGAGTGAATGGAGACGAATGGTACTTGGGACCTGACGATCTGTTGGAGTGTGAGCAGGGTAATATTTAGTGAAGGGATTCAGGGAAACCGGTTATTTTCATTTAGTCGGACTTGAGTCCTGGAAATTTGAAGTACAGTGCCTGCACTCTAAAGGAGGGGTTTGGGATATTGGCAGTTTGGAGGGATATGTTGTGTATCTTTATACGTATATGGTTTTAAACTGTTGTATTCTTGGCACCTCTGCAAAAACAGTGATAATGTGTGAGTGTGGTGAAAGTGTTGAGTGATGATGAAAGTATTTTCTTTTTGGGGATTTTCTTTCTTTTTTGCGTCACCCTGCCTCGGTGGGAAACGGCCGACTTGTTGAATATATATATATATATATATATATATATATATATAATATATATATATATATAATATATATATATATATATATATATATAATGTGTGTATATGTGTCAGAATCCTTCAGAACACTTGCACAATAAACACTAAGTCACATATTTTAGCACGCCTGCTGCAACATCCAAGATCGGTGCTTCAAGACAAGTAATTTACTCATGTCTCTCTTGCTTGTCACCCACAGGGAGACTGGGACTACTGGGTGATGGCCATGGCACGGTCGAAGGGTCTAGATATAGTGTTTCCCGAAATATCTCGCTCCCTCCACGCTGGAAGCTGTGGCACTCACATTGACGGCTTCCTCCAGGCAATGGTCTTCAGTCGGCAGTCAGCCATTCGCACCCTCACGAATCTTACTGGCATTGATGGGTCTGTATGTTTGCAAAGTTGCACGCGTTAGTGTGTGTATGTGTGTACTCGCCTATATGTAATTGCATGGGTCGATTCACAGCTCCTCTCTATGTGTGTGTGTGTGTGTGTGTGTGTGTGTGTGTGTGTGTGTGTGTGTGCACAGCGCCTGGGAAATGGGAGGTAATCAGGTGTGATCCAAGTAAAGGGAGGTTAGGTGCTCCATAATTTGAGTAATAACTTCTGTCTTATGGCAGCTCTCACTCATATGACTCCTTTATTTCCAGATTATTTCGAGAGGCGTACTCAGCAGAGGTGCACAGTGATGTGGCCCGAGCCACACCTCTCACTCTGACATCACCAAGTGACTGTGGCCCTAACCTTGTGCCAATTAAACAGGTATGACTTAACAGACATGTAGGCCTATATCATAATTTTGTTAATGTGTAATCAGTCAAAGCTTTATTTTTTGTCAGTATGCAGTACAATATAAATAAACACTACATACAACATAAGATAAATAAAGGAATTATATATTGTTACACTATGCAGCTTGTGTAAATCTTAGCAACATCCTTATTCCAGGACGGTCCATTTGTTATGTTCTTCAGTGACCAGCGGGAACGCTACGCTATCTTACTAGTGAGTCATCTAACATAACCAGTTTCCTTTTGTGTGATGAATGGTTTTGAAAACCTACAAGTTGAAAAACTGAGACACTTATGCAACATATGGGAATCTTTATTGAAGAAACGTTTCGCCACACAGAGGCTTCATCAGTCTTATACAGAGCAAGAAGGTATAAGGAGAGGAGGAGTTTCCTTTTTGCTGTTAAGAGATAATAACAGATGCTGTAATTCATCGGAGGGAGGATTGGGACTGGCTCTAAGTCTTCAGACGGCGTCGGATTCGCAGCACTGTTTCCGGACAGCGTCGTGCGGGGGCATTTACTATCTTCGGCTAGCATTTTTACTGCTGAATTGTATGCCATTCTTGCAGCACTTATTCGTATCGCATCTATGCCTGTGTCATCATTTCTGGTAGTCTCAGACTCCCTTAGTGCTCTACAGGCTATACAAAAATTTGATACATCTCACCCCCTAGTTCTCCGTATCCAACTTTGGCTACGCCGTATCTCTACCAAACATAAAGATATTGTTTTTTGTTGGGTCCCTGGTCATGTCGACGTACAGGGCAATGAACAGGCAGACACTGCTGTGCGGTCAGCAGTACATGACCTACCAATTTCCTATAGAGGTGTTCCATTTCTGGACTATTTTGCTGCAATAGCTACCCACCTTCGCACCCGTTGGCAACAACGTTGGTCAACTCTGCTCGGTAACAAACTTCATTCTATTAAACCGAGCATAGGTTACTGGCCGTCTTCTTGTCATCAGTGCCGAGGTTGGGAGACCACTCTCTCCCGCCTTTGCATTGGCCACACTCGTCTTACTCATGGGTATCTCATGGAGAGGCACCCTGTTCCTTTCTGTGAGCAGTGTCAAGTTCCAGTATCGATTAGCCACATTCTGTTAGACTGCCCTCTCTATCAACGAGCACGCAGAATTTACCTCCAACGTCGTCTTCGTTCTACTACTCTCTCTTTACCTTCCCTTCTTGCTGATGGACCCTCCTTTAATCCTGACTCTCTCATTGACTTATTGACAACGACTGATTTACTCCACAAATTCTGATGATACTTTTCGCACTCCCCTCAGCCCTTTCTAGTTCAGTCTCTTGCTGCCCTTTACCCTTTCACCATCCACTACCCCGCTGTTATCCGTAACCTATTACTCCTCCATCTCCCTTTTGCCACCTGATGCCCTCGCTTCCTTCCTGCCCTGCAGCGCTGTATAGTCCTTGTGGCTTAGCGCTTCTTTTTGATTATAATAATAATAATAATTGGAACTGGATTTCTATGAATTCGAATTGTTCATTCAGTGAGATTTTACAATAGTGTCATTACGATTTTCCGAGTCTTCTACTGTAATTCATAGTGTCTAAGTAACATAAGAGATAGCTATGGAATATTTATTTAGAAATAATTCGGTTAGTTTAGCATAATTTAATTTATAATTTATACCATGCTGTAAGTACAGGAGCTCCCCAGCATACGAACGCTAAAAGTTACAAATATCTACTCTTACAGATGAAGCTCTTGGAAACCATTTGCACCTTTTACAACAGCTGGTACACAGTTTGATAATTTGTTAATCATAACCATTCTTTGTATTGTTTTCTATAAAACAACTCGTTTGTAATTTAAAACATTAAGAACATAACATGTCTGTAAGTTAATTACCAGGAATACATATGCGAATTGAAACATTAGGAACACAGCATATGTAAGTTGGAACACTACGAACACAATACGTTTTTAAGTTGAAAGCCAGGACACAACACGTTTATAAGTTGAAACATCAGGAACACATCACTTATAAAGTTGAGACACCAGAAAAATAACACTTGTAAATTGGGAACTTTCTGTATTTTAACTAACCTTAGCTCTTATTAAAAGTTAATTATTATTATTTATTATTATTATACTCTAAGTTATCCAGTTTTTATCCTTTTTTGCTAGTGTCTTGGAATGTACACTGGTGACATACGGGGAGACTTCGAGCATGTGCAGATCCTACGGATCCAAGGCCACAAGCTGTACCTGGTAGAGTGCCCACAGTCACCACACTGGTAGGTAGAACGAGGCTCAAACCCGCATTTGGGTTACCGGTATTTGTAACTGTCTTGGGAATCTTTCATTTAACGATAGCTTGTTTAGATTATTGGAGTCTGAACTATTGACGGATCTTGTGATTAGAGACCCGTTTCAGAAGATACTGCCCATCCTGTTAACTAACGAACAGAACACCAAACGCACATATTATGGCACAATGTACCTAAACTTATTACTGTATATAAACTTTCAAATATATCATTATAAAGCGAAATAATAGCGTTTATAAAATATGAATACGTTTTTTATGCGACCCACAGCAGATTGCTAACACTATGTACCTTCTTGCTGGTAGGTAAATAGCAGCAGCAAATGTAAGAAAACATTTCCAACGTTTCCACTTATACTGGAATCGAATCTAGGTCATTCAAAATGCTAGCCGAATGCACTACTTGAACCCCAGGTCGCATCCTGGGGAAAAATATCAAAGGACCACAATAGAAATAAGCCAGATATGGTGGTTTTCTTGGGTTATCATTGGTTAATAACCCGAATAAAACCTGCATCTCATACGTATTTCTCCTGATGATTATTTAGACTGTGTATCCCTTGATTCTAAGAAGTTCCTTAGTAAGTTTATTTAGGTACAGGTACACATAAGTATAATTATCATACATCATTTAACGTGTAAATTACCTAGGATGACCCAAAAAATGTCAAAGTGACTGGTTCTCGCTCATCTCAGTGCATCCAACCTGGCACGACCAGAACTTGTATAAATAAAACAGCACATGTAATGACCCCAATAATAATAATAATAATAATAATAATAATAATAATAATAAAATATAATAATCTTTATTTCTACAAGTACATGTACATGGTATACAAGCCTAGCAGACATCAGTGACATACTATTATATAAAAAACAGCTTGTTATACAGAGCATTTCGAGCAAATTAGGTCAGTTTTGTCCCAGGATGCGACCCACACCAGCCGACTAACTCCCATGGGGAGTACTCATTTTACGGATGGGGAACATAGAGAACCAGTGTAAAAGAAACACGTTCAATGTTTCTACTTTCGTTGGGAATCGAACCCAGACACTTGCAGGGTGAAGCGAGAGCGTTAGCCACCAGGCCACGGGGGACCAATGGAAATAACTCACGTTGTCTGACTTTTTTGGGTTATCCTAGGTTCTTTACACACATGTTGCTATGTATGATAATCTATGTAACTGTATTTGTGTATACCTGAATAAGCTTACTGTTTACTGTGTTCTCAAAGTCTAGCCTGATGGTGTAAACTCTCCATTAGTCCGTCGAGTGAAAAAAGTGATAGAAAACGAGGGTGAGTGAAGGTATACTAGAATAAAAACTGTGAGATAGGCTTTGGCATTTTTTTGCAGGAAAGTAGAGGTTATTGGGAGGCAATTGCGTTCATTGCTAGTCAACAGAAAAGAAATCAGACACCTTATCTGAAGTAGGGGTTGTGGTCTTCATAGTTGCCCATTCGTTGGGTAGCCCACAGAAGGATAGCTACGACTACGGAGACTCGCCAAGCCTATCGTACAGAGACCCATGGACTCATCTTTTGTTTTCTTAGAAGTTAAGCCTACACCTCAGACTACAGCCCATCAGTAGGCAACACTTTGGTGAGTGAATTGAGGTAAAAATGGGAGATTCAGTGTTGACCTCACTGAATAATTTGGTGGATCTCGCAAAGTTCTGTCGTTAACTGCGGGTGGTTTGAGTGCTAGTTCATTCATAAATATGCTACCCAAACTGCGGACCCCCCACAAATTAAGTTTTGGCAGCTTCGGGTAAGTTGGCCTACCAGCGGTTTGTGGTAGGGCATTATATTTAGCTAGGGCTCAAACCTCGAGACTGTTCAACTGCCTCCCAGCACATAAGGGGGATTACCAACAGACCCCTGGCAGTCTTCAAGCTGGCACTGGACAAGCACCTAAAGTCAGTTCCTGATCAGCCGGGCTGTGGCTCGTACGTTGGTTTGCGTGCAGCCAGCAGCAACAGCCTGGTTGATCAGGCTCTGATCCACCAGGAGGCCTGGTCACAGACCGGGCCGCGGGGGCGTTGACCCCCGGAACTCTCTCCAGGTAAACTCCAGGTAATCCACCAGCCCCTGTACAATCTTGGCCTTGTGGCTGCTCCCTAACGGTGTCTCTCCATACCCCTTGATCAAAGTGCCTTCTTTTTGGGCATCAGCCTTCATTACTGTGTTATGCCCTCCTAATGACAATCCTTAATCTGGTTACCCCCCACCCCGTCTACACTAACTAGGTGGTTCCTTAAACATCTTGAGTGTGCTGAGTGAAAAATTTGAAGCCTAAACTGTTAAAACTAAATAGATTTGTTATAGCTTTTTTCAAGATCAGTGGTCTCAAGTCTATTAATATTTTTTTTTCCACGGTCAGGTCGATCAGATTATTTTCTCCGCTTAGAATTATTACAATTGTTTTAGAGCAGTCCTAAACTACTCCTTAGAAGTTGTAAGATACAGAATTCTTTGTCATCTTTAGTTTCGGTCCTTTTCTGCCAGTTATTTTCATTCATTACTATACATATCTTTCCTAGACTTTTCTGAACGATTTTTAAGCTATTCTGAATAATTTTAAGCTTGTCTTTTGAACGATTTTTCATGTCTTGTCCCAGAGAAGTTTCTATTTTTTGCTTTTAAATCAAGACAACTTTTCAGTTTCGCTTGACTTTTTTTATATTTAAAATGGATGCATCAGCATTCAAGGATGGGAAGGGGAAAGGTTCCTTGATGCTGGTGAAGGGCTCTTGATACAAACCTGATTATCTCCCACTTTCCCCAGAAGATGCACATGTAGATTCAGCGTTTTTCTCTGAATTTGGTATTAGTAAAGATAGCCTAAGTAAACCATGGTAACCATTAATTAATACATTCTCACTGGGCATAGGTCCACAAATAAAGACAGGTTGATAAGTTCAAATTCAAATTCAAATTCAAAGTTTATTCTCTATAAGGATTACAATGCTGAGTTTACAGAAATTTGGTTATTGTGTGGTTTACATGTAGTAAAATAGTGATTACAGAGTGTACCACTAGAACGCTTAGCATGGCTAGGCATTTCGGGCAGACTTAATTTTATTCTTAATTGTAAAATATTACAAATTATGAGGTAAGTTGGTATTATGGCTAAGTGACTAAATACTAGTTTGTGAGTTTAGCAATGTGAATGCTTTTGTTTTGGCACAGTACATAGTTTCAGTATTGGAGTATCACAGGATTCATTATTTTAAGATTGAGATTAATATTTCTGTTTATGGTCAAATGAGTGAGTGAAAGTGTGAACCACCAGGTGGTATTCGTGTAGTTAGTTGACGGGGTGTATCAGGGAGATAAGATGTTTTCTAATGGTAGTTTTGAAGGTGATGAATGTGTCTGCAGTTCTAGAGTTCTCAGGTAGGGTATTCCAGATTTTAGGGCCTTTGACATACATTGAATTTTTGTAAAGGTTTAGTCGGACACGGGGAATGTCGTAGAGATGTTTGTGTCTGGTGTTATGCCTGTGGGTTCTGTCACAACTATCAAAAGCGTTTTAGGTCAAGGTTGATATTAGAGTTTAAGGCCCTGTAGATGTAGATTGCACAGTAGTAAGTGTGGATGTACTGAACTGGGAGTAAGTTTAAGTCTATGAAGAGTGGGGGGGGGGTGTTGCCAGGGATGGGATTTAGTGATTATTCTTACTGCAGCTTTTTGTTGGGTTATTATTGGCTTTAGGTGTGTTGCTGCAGTTGATCCCCAAGCACAAATAGCATAGGTGAGGTATGGATAAATAAGTGAGTGGTATAGTGTGAGAAGGGCATTTTGCGGCACGTAGTATCGTATCTTGGAGAGGATCCCAACCGTTTTGGATACTTTTTTGGTTATATGCTGGATATGGGTGCTGAAATTCAGGTTGTTGTCAAGGTATAAGCCTAGGAATTTGCCCCCATTATTTCTGGTAATTAGAGTGTTGTCAATCTTAATGTTAATTTGTGCATCTCCTGCGCTGCTACCAAACATAATATAGTAGGTTTTGTCAGTGTTAAGCGTAAGTTTATTGGCTGTCATCCAAGTCGATATTTTAATCAGCTCCTCATTCACAATGGTGTTGAGGGTGGCAAGATTAGGGTGAGATTTGACATAAGTCGTGTCGTCAGCAAAGAGAATGGGTTTCAGGTGTGGGATACATTTGGAAGGTCATTGATGTATATGAGGAAGAGCAAGGGACCAAGGGGACATGTCGGTATAACATTATCATATTCAAAAATAAGGACACATATCTTACTGAGCAAGCTTTTATTGCCTCAATATAAGCTTGTTCTGCAACTTTTCTCTTTGTTAGTGAAAGAACACAAGTACCTAAGACATTTTTATTGGATGTGTTTCAGCCTTGGAATTTTGGAGTGACCAAGATCCCAGGACCGAAGATGACCGAAGCCTATCCCGTATAATTGTTTTTCATTCATATCGATATCATTATACATTTTACCTTCATTTTGTGTCTTGTCGTTATACTAATATTAACGCCATTTCGGTGACAAAGACAGTTGCAGAAAGGAATTTAAATGCGACGTCTCACCCGTGAGTCAAGTTTCTGTAGTCAATGGCTGAAGAAACCTGTTTCTTAGGCGAAATTTGTCAGTAAAGTTCCTCTCTACAATTGTGTCTTCGCCACTTGTCTCCAATACGCCATTTTGTCCAGGGCAAGGAAAAAAAAGGTCTTTTGTACAGGCGATATGTTGTCTGAATGTACTTTCCAATTTCTGCTTTTGTATATTTTCAGAGCTATCCAACGTTGTATCATCACTGATACTAGGCAGTTTGTTCCACTCATCTATGTTTCATTGCCAAACTAATGCTTTCCTATACTCTTAAATATTTTCTAATGTTGAATTAATATAATTTCTGCGGAGAATATGATACAGTGTGTTTCTCCTCAGTGTGAGTGTACCTCAACACTACACAGCTGTACCTCATGATGACCACCTGATGGAGGCACTGACGGCCCTTGATTTCTTCCGACGGAGCCGGGAGCTGCGAACAGCCTTTCGGGTCAGACGACCCTCTCGGGATTTCCTGGAGGAGGCGCAGCTGGACAATGTTATCACAGGGTATGCTGTCACCGGCATGGATGGTCCCACACTCTTCCTGAATAAGGGACTGGTGATGCCAATAGAAACACAAAAGGTGCCAAGCGGGATTTTTGGGTCTACCAGTCAATATGACATTATTAGTGAAAGTGAACCAAGTGGCAATGCACAGTTCCAAATTCATGATATTTACTCATTGAAAAATGCTGTGAAAGACAGTGAATTTGAAAAGTTTTACGAAGACATTAGTGACAAAGTTAAAAACAATGACAGTCTGCATTCTGTAGTTAAAATCAACCATGAAGCTGATGTAAGACCAATGAAGGTATTCAGAAATCAGAGAGCAATAAGTATTGAAGCGATGGGTCCACACACATACGCTTACTACAAAGTCTGCGTAACGTCCACCTGTGTAGTTTGGGATCCCTTGTTACCCCACCAGCATCTGCCGTACCTGCTGAATGTTGCAGCTGAGAAGTCCCAAACTGACAATATTTCATATGATGTGACTTTAGAATTCACTGTCCAAGATTTTTATAACAATCCAGGCTTGTTCGATTAATATCACTAAATTCTGAACAGTTCCTTATACAATGTACTGTACGCGAAGTAGTGCATATAAATCTGTTCAAATATTATACAATCGGTGATTTATTCATCTGGCTTGTGAATAAAGTGCTCTTGTGAGGGGATAATATTAACAGTATGATAACTAAACATGATCATTCTAGAATTACTTTATCTAGGTATATTTCCTTTTACTTACTGCCCCCTGTTCACCCATCAGTAAATAGGTATCCGAGGAAGGCGAGACATAGGCAATGAAAGTCTTTCCATCTGCTGCCCCTGTTCACCTAGGAGTAAATAAGTATACCTGGGTGCTAGCAGACTTGTGGATTACATCCTGAGGGACAAGATTAACCTGAAATACTCTACATAACCAGGAGCTTTCGCTATAGTATGCCAGTGATGTCAGCTAGGTCTGTATCAGTTGTACCATGTAATTGTTGAAATAGTTTATTATTATTTTCTTAACTGGTGGTGAACAGGGGACCCAGAGTGTCATCGATAGGCCTAATTAACCAACCACCCAAATCAATCAGGGTAATCACACAATACCTAGTAACCACTTTGATAATAATAATAATAATAATGTAAGTAAAAATAATTCTCATGAAAATGATTCATAATTCGTAATATAGTGTTTGTGTTTGAATTCTCCCTTCAAGGGAAATTGGTTAAAGGCTCGTGATCCGAGGAACTGCGAATAAAAAAAAATGAAATTCCTTTCTCCTCCCTTGGATCAAGTCTGATTAGCTTCCATTCCATAGGCACTGTAGGACCCCTCCTGGTTTAACGCTTTCCCATAAATATACGTGTCCATGAAGTCATTATGCAGATAAAATATATTTTGGTTAACTTTACAGTTTTCTTTCGTACATAACAACTATAGGTTTACAACTAACTGGTAGCTATGAAGATTTAACCTAGGATAACAAAAGACAGGTTAGTGTGATTTATTTGTTTATATATAGCAACGAAATATTAAAGTTTGACTTTAAAAATTGTCTACTGTTAGAAGCTAAGATGTCAAGGATACTGAGTCGACTTATTATTTTGTTTAAAATAAGGGCCACAAGTATAAGCCATATTATTTTCACGAAATTACGGTATACGTACTGGAAAATTTTGAGGAATTTACATAAAATCCTCTGAACGCTTATATCTAGACTTCATTAAGTATGTATGATGAACTTTTGTATGATAATCGACACCATGCCCAGCCCTTCTAGAGTAAGGTAGGTGCCTGAGCCCGAGCTTGCAGCTTAGCAGACCAGAGAGCCCTAGCTTCACCCTACGAGAAGCTAGGCCTGGGGACAGTTGGTCCCAAAGATGAGGGGGTACTTGTGCCTCCTATGGGAGACTTAGGTCTCAGACACTCCCTAGACAGGGAGCCAAGGCCGGGCCACCACTTGGAAAAGGCCTGGGCCGGGAGAAATAAGATAAGATTTCGTTCGGATTTTTAACCCCGGAGGGTTAGCCACCCAGGATAACCCAAGAAAGTCAGTGCGTCATCGAGGACTGTCTAACTTATTTCCATTGGGGTCCTTAATCTTGTCCCCCAGGATGCGACCCACACCAGTTGACTAACACCCAGGTACCTATTTGCTGCTAGGTGAACAGGACAATAGGTGTAAGGAAACGTGTCGAAATGTTTCCACCCGCCGGGAATCGAACCCGGGCCCTCCATGTGTGAAGCGGGAGCTTTAGCCACCGGTCGAATCTTTAATAATAATGATGACGCTAATCCATGTTTTGGGTTTTAAACTATCATTAACTGGTGATGTACAGATGTCATAAAGCCTTTATTGACTAGTGTGGTCTATAGACGTATATAAAAACAATTTATAAAATGTTATAATGGTGGAATTACCAACAATGTGTTAGGTAAAAGGACACATGTGCAACTCTCCTTTTACCTAACATAACAGTATAAAACAGCCAAATTAGCATCCCCTTTAGTAAATTATTAAGCGTCTATAGAACTACAATTTAATTTGCATAAACATTTGTAAACCAAATATTATTTCTATTTTAACGTAGTTACCCACAAATTTACTTTTGTTTTCTTTGATAGTATCAGGCCGGATCCTGCGCAGTCAGCCTTTTTATACTGAATAATCCACAACAAATAAATTTGGAAAAATTATTACATTATATTACGTTAGCAAGACATACGTAAATCAGCCAGATTTACTTATTTCGGAAGATCATTAACAGAGAGACGAATAAATCCATTATAATAATAATCCATATAATGGAGACGCCAGGCCGCGACCCACGGAATCAGTGGTCCATGTGCAGACGAACACGGGAACAAAGACAATTTTCCTGGTCTCTCCCGGTCATTGTTATGCTCGTATATTTTACTGTGTGATCTGTTGATCTTCATAATTACTTACCGAAATCTGGAAACTGTAACTGACCATTAGTTAGAAGATATCATGTTTTAGCTAAATTATTATGGTTATTATTATACCCGAGGCCCTTACCTTCTGGTGTATACACAAACCATAATTTGAAAGGGGCGGTTATAGTACTAATGGTTATAATTTTAATTTTTAAGAGAGGGTGGACCGGTAAGCCAGCGGAAGGCCTCAGTCAGATGACCAAAAGCTCCAGCTACGGGTCATATTCAAATTCAGATTTTTATTTCTTTGCAAAGTTTACAATGTGTGACTGATATGTTATAAGGAGTCTATTCCCATGCATAGTTTACAATGTTTAATTACAATATTGATTTGCAAGTGCAACGAAAGCCACTATCATGCCGAGGCATTTCTAAGATTACGACCCACGTTAGGAAACATTTGTAATATTTCCTGACAAACCTAACCTAACCTGGTGTGTATTACCATATTATATATATCTGCCTTGAAGGGATACAACCTTAATGCTTCATTAAATTATGTTTATTAGGGGTTATTTTATATTGTAAATAAATATCATCGATTTATAAATGAGGAAATAAAAACATTACTGTTTAAGGTTAAGAATTCCCAAGAAATAAGTTTTATTCAGGCTAAATTTATTGATTTTTTTTTAATTCTACTTTATTATGTATTCGCAGGGAAGTAATATGCGGGGTATATACATTGAGATGTGTATGTATATACTGAGAGTTTACTTTTATCCCTAGTTTAGGGATTTGAATATTCTTGATTATGTGAGTTAGACCTGCCTGGCATGGGCCAGTTGGCCTACCTACCTACATTCTTGTATATGGTGAACGGGCGACATGCAACCTTATGACACTCTTAAGATAAGATAAGATAAGATAAGATTTCGTTCGGATTTTTAACCCCGGAGGATTAGCCACCCAGGATAACCCAAGAAAGTCAGTGCGTCATCGAGGACTGTCTAACTTATTTCCATTGGGGTCCTTAATCTTGTCCCCCAGGATGCGACCCACACCAGTCGACTAACACCCAGGTACCTATTTGCTGCTAGGTGAACAGGACAACAGGTGTAAGGAAACGTGTCGAAATGTTTCCACCCGCCGGGAATCGAACCCGGGCCCTCCGTGTGTGAAGCGGGAGCTTTAGCCACCAGTCGATAGTCTTTAAACCCACTTAACCAACCAACTTCTAAAGCCATACTATTAATACATCGCCTGGGGGAACGACAGGTCAACCAAGTACAATCCGAGGAAGAGAAGAACTCCAACTTGTGATTAATCAAGATTTGTCGCAGGATAAGCCAACAGAAGCAGTAAGATGCATTTCTTTAATCATGCTGAGGTGCTAAACCCGTAAAAGTCATACATCGCCCTGGTAATTGACGAAAGTCAAGTTTGATCCATGAAAAGGGATATCTCCAGTTCCTTGGATCAAGAGCTCTTTCTAGCGTCGATGCATACCTGTTGAAGGAGGTATGATTTATTTTCTGTGCACTCTAAGGTACATCAGTCGTTTCTCATATATATATATATATATATATATATATATATATATATATATATATATATTTATATATATATAATATATATATATATATTATATATAATATATATATATATATATATTATATATATATATTATATATATATAATATATATATATATATATATATATATATATATATATTATATATATATATATATATATATATATATATATATATATAATGTCGTGCGAATAGGCAGAACTTGCGATCTTGGCTTAAATAGCAACGCTTATCTTGCCATATAGGACAAGTGAAAATTTGTGTATGCAATAATTTCGCCAAAATCTTCTGAACCTAACGAAAAAAATATATTTCACTGTGTTTGTTTAGTATTAAATTATTGTAAACAAATCTAAATATATATATAAGTTGGTTAGGCTAAAATAAATTGTTCTGTTATAATAAGTTAGGTAAGTTTTCTAAATTCTTTTGTGCAAAATTAAAAATTTTTACATTAACATTAATGAAAAAAAATATATCTTTAAACGTATAAGAGAAATTTTAGAAAGGACTTAATTTTAAATGAGTTCTTGCTAATGACCATTTACATATTCGGCACGACATATATATATATATATATATATATATATATATATATAATATATATATATATATATTATATATATAATAAATATTTATATATATATATAATTTATATATATAGTAGTATGTATAGTCGTGCGAATAGGCCAGAACTTGGTCTGGCTTAAATAGCAAACGCTCATCTTGCCATATAGGACAAGTGAAAATTTGTGAATGCAATAATTTCGCCAAAATCATTTGAACTAACGAAAACAAATATATTTCATGTGTTTGTTTAGTTGGTTAGGCTAAATATAAATTGTTCTTGTTATAATAGGTTAGGTAAGTTTTCTAAGTTCCTTTTCGTGCAAAATTATAAATTTTACATCACATGTAATGAAAAAAAATATATTTTTAAACTATAAAGAAAATTTTAGAAAGGACTTAATTTTAAATGATTCTTGTAAAATTTACCGTTTTTATATTCGCATATATATATACTATAGTACTATATTCATATATATATATATATATATATTTTATATATATGTATGTATAAATGAGAACAGCAACAGCTTTTAGACTTAAAAATTTAGTTTAATGTAGATAGGAGCATTGTATAACCTATGTAAGTTTAATGCGTGTCTTTGAATTTAATAATTAAACGCAGATAATAATGAAAATAAAATAACATCGCGTGGTGGTGAGTAGAGGCAGAGGGCGGCAAGCAACGCCACCTTCCCCCCAAGCTAGTGCCGCCCCGCCTCCTCTCACTATTCATTGCACTTACACACCCATTGACGTTGCCATTTGTCTTCACAGCTCATTTCCTCACATATACCGCTAGTGTACGCCTTGTCAGCATGCAAGTGTATAGAAGGGATAAAGGTAAATGTGGTTGTTTTATTCTTCATCTCATGTGGTGTGGGTCTGTAAAATTAGAACATCTGGCGTACGTTTGTGTTGTTCCCGCGCATTACTGCCCTGCCAGGCGGGAGCCGCATTCCGCGCCATGCTAAGTAGTACTCCATGTTTTTGGTAAATTCTTGCAAATAATGACAAAATATTAATCAAATAATATTTTATACGTAGATGATGCTTTATTTGTGAAGCATCTTATTGGTTGTCTATGTTGAATAAGTCTTTAAAAAATAATAGTTTAAATTATCCCGCCTGGCCCAGCCTTGGCGGAAGAATACCAGTACTCATCAGTTTCCCGCCAAACAAGAGTCCTGAGCGCTCGAACACGGACGAGTGTTGCCTTTACTCGTGCTTATTTGGGTGTTTTGTGAGTGATTTAAAGTGTACAAGTGACTAAAAGCTTTAAAGTGTTTATATAAGTGTTGCTCGAGGATAACAATGTTTCCTAGAGTAGGTGAGAAGCGTCGAATTGACGATATTGGGATTGAAGACGAAGAAGCCATCGGTTCACTTTGCAGGTATGGCCGCCCAAGTGTCACGTTAGCTTCCTAGCCGAGTATTCTGCAGCTTTGTACGTGAATATGGTGATGTACACTTTATTTCACCTCTCTCGGTGGTTGTCATGATCAGAAAGATTGTTTTAGCCTCGTAGTTAGCGTGTTTCTTGAGTGTATTTCATCAGCTGATTGTGACGCCATGCCGGGCCGCCGATCAGCTGACAGCACCCGCCATATGGCTGCCGCTATATTTCGCTCGTTTATTAACTTCTCGGGGCTTCTACTCCATCCGCTTGTTGTTACTTGGCAGCATTTAAGATCCATATATCCTCGGATAACATAGTTGTGTGGCTGAACGACTGTCAAATTGTAATTTGAGGTTTGTTTTCTTGAAACAGCTGATATTGACGTGATCAGCTGATGGTCTTCACATGGCGGGCGCGCCAGCAGGGCGGGGCCTGCGCCCTCCCTCACCACGTCAGGAATATCATTCTAATGGATCATTCCTAACTCATCTGTGGATATTTTATCTACATATACAGATCTGCAGGTGTTTTGTGGGTCGTGTGTACAAATTATAGAGAAACTGTAATGGTATTAACCGGAACATTGGGCGTCAATGTGGGAATGTTGAACGGAAGTAGAAAAGCGTGGGCGGTGATGCAGAGGCCACGTCGACCTCCGGGTTATATGTCTGGAATGTGTTTGCCGGCTCAAACTACCCCTTAAGGGGAAGTACAGGAAATTATGGTCACTTGTGTAACTAGATATGAGAACATTTTAATCCTTAAATGCTGCGGTATTCATAGTTTTTTTTTTTTTTTTTGTAAGAATTGTCAAGAACCATAAGTGCAAATTCTCGACTGTGGATATGTTATAAGGGCATCAGTTTTCAAGATTTGACAGTAAGATGCAGATTTACCCCCCTTCCCCCGCCCCATAAGAATCCTGTTCAGCAGTTGGAAAGTTAGAAAGAAATTGGTCTAACTTTTACATAATAGCAGGAAGAAAAGTACAGCCAAAAGCATTGCAATTCCAACATTGTCAGTATATCAGTTAAAATTATTATCCAATGGTTAATGGCAATCTCCAAGCTAAATACAGGCGAATTAGGCAGTAGGCAAGCCCTACTCTCCGCTACCATTTTCCGTTGTAACTGTCTTGAACTATTTTTAAACAAACTAAAATATTTTCGTCAGCTGATCAAATTTAAGTTTGTTCCATTTTTTATGACTGCAGTTAGTGTTACTTAACCTGTGTTCTTATAGCCCAAGATAAAATTTCCATGATTATTTTCCCAGATTTCGATTAATGTATTTATGGTATATTGGCAACATAATTCTTGAAGATTGAGGCACTTATGCAGCATATGGGAATCTTTATTCAGGAAACGTTTCGCCACACAGTGGCTTCATCAGTCCAATACAAAGAGGAAAGCGTAAGGATCGGAGGAGCATGAGGTAATCAGTCCCTCAGCCTGGAGTCGATGTGTTCAGTCCATCAATCTTGTAGAATGTACAGCATAGGGCCGTAGACGTGGCTTATATACTGTAGTTAGGTGAGGTGAAGCAGGCGGAGGCGGGGTCATAGTGGTACCATCCACTAGTCGAAGTAGGACTGAACACATCGACTCCAGGCTGAGGGACTGATTATCTCATACTCCTCCTCTCCTTACGCCTTCCTCTTTGTATTGGACTGATGAAGCCACTGTGTGGCGAAACGTTTCCTGAATAAAGATTCCCATATGCTGCATAAGTGTCTCAATCTTCAACTTGTCGGTTTTTCAAACCATTTCATCACAATAATTCTTGAATTCTTCGTGAAATCACATATAATGTCTTAATACTTGGAGTGTGATAGTGTGAGTAGTGTGATGAGTGTGAGTGAGTGTGTGAGTGTGAGTGAGTGGATGAGTGTGAGTGAGTGTGAGTGAGTGTGAGTGAGTGTGAGTGGAGTGATGTGAGTGAGTGTGAGTGAGTGTGATGAGTGTGTTGTTGTGTGTGTGAGTGTGTGTGTGGTGTTGTGTAGTGTGATGAGTGTGTGAGTGTGTGTGTGAGTGAGTGTGTGTGAGTGGGTTGTGAGAGTGTGTTGAGTGAGTGTGTGTGAGTGAGTGAGCAGTGTGTGTGAGTGAGTGTGAGAGAGAGGGAGGGAGGGTTGGGAGGTGGGTGTTGAGTGTGAAGTGATCAAGATCCCAGGACCGAAACGTTTCCTAATAAATATGTCCTTGTGTTTGTTCATTTGTGTCTTTAAACCAGTTTGTCTATCAGTTATCAAGGTCAGTACTGTGTAC